ACTCAATAAAAACTCAATAAAAAATAATAATCCAATTAAAATGAGTAATGCATCCAAATAGACATTTAGGAAAAGAAGACATCCAAATGGCTAATAAGTGTGTGGAAAAATGTTCAACATTTCCAATCATCAGGGAAATGCAAATTAAAACCATAATAAGATTATCATCTTACCCCAGTAAGAATAGCTATTACCAAAAAGATAGAAGACAGCAAGTGCTGGCAAGAATGTAGAGAAAGGGAAGCCTTTTATGCTGTTAGTGTGAATGTAAATTAGTGTAGCAATTATGGAAAACAGTATGGCGGTTCCTCAAAAAATTTAAAGAACTACCTTTTGATCCAGTAATCCCACCACTGGGTATATATGCAAAGAAAATGAAATCAGTATGTCAAAGAGACATCTGCATGCAACACTCTTCACAACTACCAAGAAATGGAAAACAACCTGAGTACCATCAACCTATGAATGAATAAAAAAAATGTGGTAAATATACACAGTGGAATACTATTTAGTCATAAAAACAATGAGGAGCTGGGGTTGTGGCTCAGTGGTAGAGTGCTCACCTAGCATGTGTGAGGCACTGGGTTTGATCCTCAGCACAATATAAAAAATATAAAAAATAAAGATACTGTATCCACCTAAAACTAAATAATAAATATTTAAAAAACAATGAAATTTTGCCATTTATGGATAGAACTGGAGATCATTGTGTTAAGTGAAATAATCCAAGCACAGAACTATGGCTACATGATCTTATTCACATGTACAATCTAAAAATTTGACCCCATACAAGTTGACAGTATAATGAGAGTTACCAGAGGCCAGAAAGAATAGAAGGAAAGAACAGTTGGAGAGAGATTGATTAATGAATACTAAGTATAGTTAGATGGGAAAAAAGGAACACTGGTATGTTATTATACACTCAGATGACTATATATGATGATAATGTACAGTGTATTTTTAAAAAAAATAGAATATTTTTTAGTGATTTCATCATAAAGAGATGATGACAAAGGAGATACAGGTTTACCTGGTTTGAACATTACACAATGTGTGAATTTATCAAAACATAACATGGTACCCCATAAATGTATACTTTTATGTATCAGATGAAATTTTTTAATTTAAAAATAAAAATTTAAAAGTATGATCATAAGCTATATAATGCTATTTTAGTCAATGATGGACTGATAATCCAATAAAGTAAGTCATGTCACACAGTGACATCATAGTCATCTTATTTTGCACATGTGCACTCTCTGATGCTCATATGACCACAAAATCGCCTAATGATGCATTTGTCAGAATGTATCTCTGTCCAAGAAATTGACTATATACAGAAGGCAGTGTTCAGTTCTTATCTACCTACAGTATAGCTAAGTATGGTTGACCAAATAAATTGTTTCAAACTGAGGTCAGAAGTTTGTCCAGAACAATTCACATAACCTGTGTCAGAGCAAACAAAAGATATAGACAAAACTTTCCCTATTAGATACTAGTAAAATGAAATAAAATGGTCTGCAGACATGAACAGCCATAGAGTAGGGAGAAACAAAAAACTTATAAGATATACAAAGAACCTAGTGTGGAGCACAATATAAACCTAGAAAAACAAATAGGTTTGTTGTTGTTGTTGTTGTTGTGAGTACTTTACACTACAGGCAACTTAATACAAATTTGATCAAAACTACACTGAAATTCCATCTCACTCAGTCAGATGGCAATTATCAAGAATATAAGCAAAAATAGATGTTGGTGAGCATGTGGAGAAAGAGGTTCAGTTATACATTGCTGGTGGGACTGCAAATTGGTGCAACCACTCTGGAAAGCAGCATAGAAATTCCTTAGAAAACTTGGAATGTAAAAAAAAAGAAAACTGAGAATGGAACCACCATTTGACCCCATTATCCCACTCCTTGGATTATATGCTTAAAACCAGATGAATGGATGAAGAAAATGTGGTATATACACCCAATGGAATATTACTCAGCCATAAAGAAGAATGAAATTATGGCATTTGCCAGTAAGTGGATGGAACTGGAGAATATCATGCTAAGTGAAACAAGTCCATCCCCAAAATCCAAAGGCAGAATGTTCTCTCTGAATATGTGGATATACTAACCCACAACAAGGGAGGTAAAGATTAGATGTTCATTGGACTAGACAAAGGGGGATAAAGGGAAGGGAGGGGGGATGGTAAAAGAACAGACAATAGAATCAATTGGACATATCTTTCTTATCCTCATATTTAAATACATGACAAATGTAACTCCACATCATGTACAACCACATAATGAGAGAGATCCTAATCAGAACAACTTATACTTATTGTATGTATGTATAATATTACAAAATATACTCTACTGGCATGTAAAAAATAATAATAAATGATAAAAAATAAAAAAAAAATTTGGAGAGCCCAATTAAAAACAATTTCCAAGAAAAAAATAATACAGATTTGATAAAAACGAAGAGCTCAAATACAAAATGATAAAAAAAGAAAATAAGAGAAAAAGAAGACTGAAAGCAAAGTAAAAATATTGAAACCTAAAAAAACCAATTCATTCAAATCATTAAAATTAAAAACAGCAATAGACAAGAAAAAAGGATAAGGAAATGAGACAAGGATAAGGAGGGGAGAAAGAAAGAAAATGGTGAAAAAAGTGATAGCATGAAGGATCAGGTTTGGTTAATCATGGTTAACATCATACAGTAAAAAACCAAAAAGCAGTGGTACAGAAACAGAGGATAAGGAAATCCAATGCCCCTGAGGTGGTGAACTTAACTTATAAAAATTCCCACAATGAAGAAAGAACTCATCAAGGATATACCACAAATCAGGAAAAATGATACAGTAAATCCAATCACATGCACACACATACACCCACATGCATACTTGTGCACATGTGAACACATACATACAAAGTTGCCTACAAGGAAGGAAAACAAATCGTGTTAGTATTAGACTTCTTCACAGTTATATTCAATAGCAGAAGGTAACTTAGCAATGTCTAAAATATTATGAGGGAAAGAAAATGTGACCCAAGAATATAATACTCAGCTAAGATATCGTTCAAATATAAAGACATTTGGCAAATGCTCTTAACACGAAAGAATGTAATAAATACTGCAAGTCCTTGTTGAAGGAACTTCTCAAAGATGAAATCCAAACAATCAAGAAATAAAGAATGCAGAAATAGATACACCATGGTACAATTGTCAGCATACAATCCTTTTAAAATAAAAAATAAACAAACTACTTTAAAAAGCTAATGATTTATGATTGTATAACAATTTAAATGTTATAAACCTTGATAAAATCTAAATGACTTGAATGGCAAATAGGAATAGGGCAAAAGAATTGAAAGGAAATATAAGAAATCTAATCTCTTCCTCTTTCAGAGCAGAGAATCAAATGATAATGTTTAATATTGAAACAGGAACTTTCAAAAATGATTAACTGACTGCTAACAAAAGATTAGCAATTATTCCATTTTATTTTACTGTGTTATTCTGTTAAATTCAAATAAAATTAAATGAAATGATTTTGGAGCTGTGGATGTAGCTCAGTGGTAGAGCACTTGCCTGGCATGTGAAACCCTGGGTTTTTTCCCTCTGCACTGAAAAAAAAGGAAGGAATGACTTTAATTTATTATATGATGATCCAATATTATGAAGTTTCTCCAGTCTATCCATCCAGTCATCTCTCTATAGATAAAAGATATATTAAATGATTTTCACATAATATATAATGTGAAAACTTGAGTAGCAAGGATCTCAGTGATTTGTGGCTTTCTTCTTTCTCATTTCCTGTACTGTTTACTTTTTTAATTGATTTTTTTTAAAAATGACAGCGGAATGCATTACAATTCTTATTGCACATATACAGCACATTTTTTCATATCTCTGGTTGTACATAAAGTATGTTCACGCCAATTCATGTCTTTATACATGTACTTTGGGTATGATGTCCATCACATTCCACCATCCTTGCTAACCCCCCGCCCCCTCCCTTCCCCTCCCACCCCCTTAATGAATAAATATATGAAAAAATGTTCATCATCTCTAGCAATTAGAGAAATGCAAATCAAAACTACTCTAAGATTTCATCTCACTCCAGTCAGAATGGCAGCCATTATGAAGACAAACAACAATAAGTGTTGGTGAGGATGTGGGGGAAAAGGTACACTATACACTGCTGGTGGGACTACTGTTTAATTTTTTAAAATAATGATTATGTGTTATTTTTATTTGCCTTCAGCTCGTTCTTATGAAGTAAATATGCCCAAATGTTACTATTTACATGTTACTGTTTACATGAGTTTTAGAATTAGGATTGATTTTTCCCTTTTACCCTTTTCTGCGTATTCCAAATATTCTTTTTAAAATTTATTTATTTTACTTTTTATTGGTTGCTCAAAACATTACATAGCTCTTGACATATCATATTTCATACATTTGATTCAAGTGGGTTATGAACTCCCATTTTTCCCCCGTATACAGATTACAGAATCACATCGGAGCAGATTATGCTAAGTGAAGCTAGCCAATCCCTAAAAATCAAATGCCAAATGTCTTCTTTGATATAAGGAGAGCAACTAAGAACAGAGCATGGAGGAAGAGCATGAGAAGAAGATCACCATTAAACAGGGTCGAGAGGGGGGAGGGAAAGGGAGAGAGAAGGGAAATTGCATGGAAATGGAAGGAGACCCTCATCATTATACAAAATTACATATAAGAGGAGGTGAAGGGAAAGGGGGAAAAAAACAAGGGAGAGAAATTAAGTACAGTAGATGGGGTAGAGAGAGAAGATGGGAGTGGAAGGGAGGGGAGGGGGGATAGTAGAGGATAGGAAAAACAGCAGAATACAACAGACACTAGTATGGCAGTATCCAAATATTCTTGTAATGAACATCTATGAGATAGAAGAATTTCTAAAAAGTAATAAAAGAATTAAAGGAATGTTGTAGCATTTCCTTAAATAACTACTTGGTTCTCACCTGGGTTCCTGCTGTTGCTCCTGAATAATCTTTCTTCCTGGCCAGATATCACCCATCTGTGTCTGATGAAGGAGGGAATGTCCCACTGTCTCTCTTTTATTTGCTTAAAGACAAACAAAAGCATATTGGGATGGTGTTGATGAGTGTAGGAAAGGGAAACAATGCTCACAGCATCTCCTACAAAATCATAACACTTGCAGAAGGGATGGAGGTACAATCTTTTATATTCCCACAAACCATCTAAGCCCATGGAGTTAAGACTCCACCATTCAGAACACACTAGGATCTATGGCTAAGGGTAAGTCCTACAGGGAACCATCCCTAGAAAAGCCCAGTACCTGCAGGTTTACGCCGCAGGGACATCCTGATTATCTCACTGCCTGTGCGGTAAGCAAAGCGGTTCACTTTCTGGTCATAAAACCAGTCTCCAGTTGCTTTCTTCAGCTCTCTGGGAAGGAATGAAAGAAAATGACCAATGTACCAGGTATGGTTATACATGCCTGTAATCCAAGTTACATGGCAGGCTGAGGAAGGATTACAAGTTCAAGGCCAGTCTGGGCAAGTTAGCAATACCTTGTCTCAAAATAAAATCTAAAAAAGGCTGAAGATGTAGCTCAGTGGTAGAGCAATTGCCTAGCATGTGCAAGGCCCTGAGTTCAATCCCCAGCACCGGGGGGGAGGGGGATGCAGAATGGCTCCTGTCATTCAACTAACAAAGACTGAGGAAAAGAATTGAATACCATAGTCAGGACTCTTCTCTTACTCAGCCATAGGTTAACACTCACATTTCTTTGGCGCACACCTTGCACCTCCAGGTACCATTGCTTTCCTGGATGCGGCAGTCCCGACACACCAGGTGATTACAACCCCAACAAGTGTTGGTCTTGGGAGTCAAACGACCCAGACTCTCTTGGCACCGGGCACAGGTCCGATCACTGTAGTGTTGGCTACCCCTCTTGGCCCCTTTCCTTTTGATTTCCAGTAGTTCATTCTTCAGTCGCCTGCCAAGCCCCAAAAGACAAGCACAATTGGATTCAGGATCTGTGTAGGTCAGATGGAGAAGAGTTGAGGGGCAAAGACACACTGTTTGATTCTGTGAAAGCAACAAACTCAGAGCCCAACTTGACCCAACAAAGAATTGTAAATGTCATGTACAGAATTTCCTCTGAAAGTTAAATGAGAAGCAAAAAGAAAAGCCTAGATATCACTGGTCAAGGGAATGGGACCTTATACTATTTCTTGGACTCTTACCTAATCCTTTTCTCATCTGCTTTCCGAAGCTCCTCATCTCGCTGTAGAACATTAAGGATCAAATCCCTTTCCACCTCAGACAGAAAAGAGAGATCTAGTATCTCTGACATGATGTATTCTACTTTCTCTTGTACTCCTCTTTCTTCAAAGCAACCGAACAAGGAGAACTTCCAGCGTTGCCTGAAATGAAAGAACAACCCATTTCACATAGATGATTTATTCCAGAATAGGCCCACAGCTCTAGAGCCTTTCAGTAGGCTGCTTTTCTCTTGAACTAGGCTAAAGAGACAAAACAAAAGTATCTAATCTATTTAATATTCCTCTTCCAACTTGAGTAATGCCCTAAAAATGAAGATTTTTTTTATTTTTCAAGGAGTTATTCATAACTGTGGGAAATGATTGGATCTTTTAGCATAAGCATTAGAGTCTAGAAAGAGCATAAAACAGTCAAACTCTCAATCTACCAAGTGGATCCTCAATCATTCAATTTTCATTACTTTAAATGTTCTCAAGTAACCCAAATAAATAGACAGCTGGTATCTGAACTGTAGGGAAAAATCACATGAGGACTCCTGCCAGTTTAGTCCAATTTCTCCATTCCTGACCAGCTTCTACATTCCTGTATTCAGTCAGTATGGGGCTATGCTTCAAAAAATTACACTACCTATTCTACCTCCCAAAGTTCTTGTTGTACTATCACTACAACTGAAGAATATCTTCCACCATTTCATGAAGATTTGTTGAGCACAACTCTTTCAGGAATTATGCAGAGTGCTGGAGATAGAGATATGAATAAGACTCAGTTCTTGCCCTTAGGAAGTTTGCAGAGTAATGGAGGAGACAGACACACTGGAGGACAGTAAAATATATCAAGTGCTGTCAGGAGTATTATAAATTAAGTACATGGGAATTCAGAGAAGGAAGTAAGTAATTCTACCTTACATAGTGAAGGGGAGAGAGATCTATATAGATGGGAGGGTTTTTACATAAGATTTGGATTTTGCATTATCAAACAGAGAACATATTTGTTCATGGAGGAAAAATGGTAAGAAAGTTAGATTGGGACCCAATCATAAAGTTTAAATACTCTTTAAAATGAAGAATTTAAAAATGTATTATATCATTAATTTGAATCCAACAAACATCTTTGGTTTTGCTTTTTGATGTTAGAAATGATATGATTTAATTCATTTTACAAAGATTGCTATTTATAGTATAAGAGATTTATTCAAAGAATTAATTGAAGGGCATTTGGTAGCACCCATCACATTCTAAAATAGGCAATAATAAGAATCTACATAATAAAATAGTCACATAAATATTATGGAAGGGCCTATTTATATAAGAGTGTTATTGCTATATTTTTAAAAAATATTTAATTAGTTATTCATGATGGTAGAATGCATCATATACAAATGGGGTATAATTTCTCATTTTTCTGATTATACATGTTTAGAATCACATCACTCATGCAGTCATATATGTACACAAGGTAATAATTCCTATTTCATTCTACTATCCTTTGTATCCCCATATCCCTTCCCCTCCCTTCACTCCCCTCTACATAATCTAAAGTAACTCTATTCTTCTCTAGTGGCCCCTTATTTTGAACTAGCATCTGCATATCAGATACAAACTTTGGTTTTGGGGGATTGGCTTACTTAGAATGATATTCTGCAACTCCATCCATTTACCAGCAAATGTCATAATTTTATTCTTCTTTAAAGCTGAGTAATACATTATTTTAAGAATAAAAAGTTCTTTTTTAATATTTATTTTTTTAGGTGTAGTTGAACATAATGCCTTTATTTTACTTACTTATTTTTATGTGGTGCTGAGGGTCGAACCCAGGGCCTTGCATGTGCTAGGCAAGCACTCTACTGCTGAGCTACACCCCAGCCCCAAGAACAAAAAAGTTCTTAAACAGAGAAATCATTAAACAAAATAATGTTTCCATATGTAGCCATTCAAAAAATGTGGTAGATATGTACATACATGGAAAATATGCCTATGAGTGACAAGAAGTAACTTTAGGATAATAAAGAATTATCTCTTTTATAAAGTATCTAAACATTTGTATATTCAAATAATAAGATCTAGAATAAAAAAACATAATCATTAGTTTTTCTTGGGGAGATTTGAGAGGAGACCATTTTAACCTTTTAGTTTATATAGTTCTGATTTTTTAACCTGTGTCTTCCCTTTACATTTCAAAGAAAAAACAATTCAAAGGAGGCAGGGAGATTATTGCAGTGGTCCAGGCAAAAGACAACCTAGGATTATTAACTGTGCCTCTAACTAATTGGACAAATAATTTTATATCTGTAATCCTTTGGTTTCTCATCTATAAAAGGGGGTACCTTGAAAGGTTGTCAAGAAAATTAAATAATATCCAACAAAGGGTCAATCATGCTTGGAACACTTGTTTAGAATATAAATGCTTATTGAATTTTCTAAAATTATAAATACCTGAGCCAAGAATTGAAACAAAGGAACCAAGAATAGGTTCAAGGAGAACTGGCAGAATGGCATGACTAAGTGGTAGAAGATGAAGAAGGTGAAGCTAAAGAAGCCTAGTTCACATGTCTAGGTTAGACAATTAGACTGGATGGTGACAGCCCTCACAATGACAGGCGATACAAGAAAAAAAAAACAGGTTTGGAAGGCACTAAGTTTTCTTTTAACCATATTGTTTGTGCTGCATACAGGATATACAGGAATTAAGCCCAGGTTGTAGTTGGAGGTACCTGGGCTTCAGGAGGAAAAACTGTTCTGAAAATAAAGATTTGGTAATCATGGCAGACAACGAGTCCAGCGTAGACAAACTAGGAAAAAAAAATAAGAATCATGCTTATCTCCTCTGCTCTCCCCTGAAGATAGAAAATAAGCCCCTTTCACTTTATTGTTATTTTTTACTAATTGCTTAAAAACAACAGAAAGTATAAACAACATAGAAAAGCTATACAGGTTCCTGAACCCTCAATATTCTCTCGAATTGTCAATTTTGCAGTTTTTATTGAATGATAAGTATCAAAACTTCTTTCAGAGACCCTTTCTAACATACTTCTTGAGGATTTATTCTTAGTTCTTTACCCCAGGGAATATATACACTCCAAGTAAATATTTTTTAATATTCTCTTATACATATGGCCTAATACAATATCTGATAATTTTTCATGTGACACCAATATTTTGATCACTATCACTGTCATCACCACCCCAATAGTTCCATTTATTCAGAATTTACTAGATTCCAAACAAATGGTTTGCATATATACTAATTTAATTCTTTCCCAAGAGTAAGTGACTATTATTATCTCCACTGTATAGATGAAGATTCAGGGGACATGAAGTTAACTTGCCTAAGAATAAAGTGAACTTGCTGGGATTCAAGCCCAGGTAATCTGATTCTAGAGCTCATATTCTACTGGCTCTATCTAGGCAGAATAAAGGCAAAAGCAATTATAAAACATTGAAGGGAATAATCAAATAATGTGGAAATAAATTCTCATATGTATAATTATGGCTGAAGCACTGGCCAAAATTCAATGGTTCACAGATAAAATAGGTAATACCAGTTGCCATGCAACTACAGATCAAGGATAGCATAGGCACAGTGGAAATAAGAATAATACCAGATTTATTAGAAAACTGGTACTTGTGGAAAGGCAGCAGAGTTCTGTGATGAGAAAGCCACACAGCGTAATGAGATCAAGTAATATAAAAAACTAAGGAAGTAGGAATATCTTTGAGGAAATGAAGATAGTACCATAAATAAATAGAACTATTAGCACCATATATCTTTCCTTTATTTTTCATTTACAGACCTGAATAACCAGAACTGCCTCTCTCTGAAATTTTAAATTCAAGAATCCCCACTTTCCAACTGTATTATTCAGCTTTCAGTTACTATGACAAATGCCTGAAAAAAAAAAAAACTTAGAGGAGGAAAAGTCAACTTTGGCTCACAGTTTCATAGATCTCAGTCCAGAGTTGGCCAACTCCATTACTCTAGGCCTGAGGTGAGGCAGAATATCATAGTAGAAGGGTATAGTGAAGAAAAGCTCATTCACGGCAGCCAGGAAACAGAAAAAGATTGAGAGAAAGGAGCCAAGGACAATATTTAGTCCTCAAAGGCATGACCTCAGTGACCTACTTCCTCCAACCATGCCCCTACCTGCCTACAATTTCTACGCATCCCAGTAGTCCAATTACTCATCCATCAAATGGATTAATCCACTGATGATGTTATAGCTCTTATGACCCAACCATTTCCCAAAAGCCCTACCTCTGGACATTGCTACATTGCCTTCAGCACATGAGGTTTTGGTGGACATTCCAAATCCAAATCATAACACCAACTACAGTTCATAACCACTATACCCATTCTTCAACCTTATCAAGACCAAGTCTCTTTAGCCCTAATTTTCTTCTAGTCCTCTTGCCTCTTGCTAATATCTTCTTTTCCTATACATTCTGGATTTAGACAGCTCAACTTCTGACTATCTCTCACCAGTATATTCCATATCCATGTAATTTTGCTATAGCTTAGATTTGAATTGTCCCCTGAAGAACCATATGTTAAATGCTTGGTCCCCAGTCTGGTGCTAATGGAAGGTAATGGAGCCTTTAAGAGGTGAGGCCTAGTGGGAGGGCTTAGGTAATTGGGGGCAATCCCTCAAGAGGGATTGTGAGAACCTAGTTTGTGCACTTGACTATGAGGTAAATGGACTTTCTCAGCCACAGAAGCAGAGATGTGCTATACCACCACAAACCCAAAGCAAAGGGGCTAACTGATAATGGTCTGAAATCTCTAAAACTGTGAAACTAAACAAATATTTCCTCTTTATAAGTTACCTCAAGTATTTTATTACAGTAAAAGAATGCTGACTACACAACCTTCATCCTTCTACCACAAGTGCCCCTAAAAATCCCAAATCAATATCAATGCCTGAACAGTTTACTACCATAAACACATACTATGCAATTCCTTATCTAAAGTCTCAGCTTTATTTTTTTTGTAGTCACCCACAAATCCTGTTCCTTGTACTTGTTCAGTTTGCTTACCTAGTCCCTTTGGGTTTTATTTTAAGCCTTTGTTTATTTTACATTCTCACTTTCTTTCCCTCTAGACCTATTAGGCATCCTTGTCTCACACTTGTAAAAAAAATTTTAAGCCC